CTGCACTTCCGTTTACTCGACGTCTTGTTTCCAAGATTTTCGCGGTCACTACCGCTTAGAAATTCTGTCCGGTAGTGCTGCAGCACGAAAAGCCCGTTTCTGCTAAATATTCGTTCCAACTCAGAATATACATCTTGTAGGGAAGACTCTTTTGTATTCTCGGTCCTTTTGGTCTCTTAATCACAGAACGAGTGATATATATATAGCATGTCATGCGATATTGAACGAGGGGGTGACTGAAATGAGACCGAGCAAAAAAAGAGTCGTGCACTTTTGTGACGAAATAGCATATACACTGTTTACATTATCATTATCACGTCCAAAGATCCACTCATTGAACAACTGCAATCGCAAGTAAATATTTTGCGTATTTATCCTAGCTTAGCATGATATGAAGTGCAATAGCATTAGTAGGGCAGCAACAACGACGATCCTTTACAAACAAGTGCGGGTGCCATCTAGGCTGAGCTGCGTTGAGTTGCAGTTCCGCGCTCCACGGCTAACGAGCCTCTCAACGTTTGCCGCGTACCGGATCTCGTTGACGAGTTTTCCGAGATTGCAGAATCAAAAAAAGATCGTCATGCAAATAAAACAAGTTGCATTGCACATCAACTCATATTTAATTGGATAAAGTTTAAGCTCTTTTTTACAACAACTATTAAATTTCATATGTCTGGTCCTTCTTGTCCTCTCGCTTTTTCTTACTTGACTCAGATTTCGTTTTGTTTTTCCGATGTTTCTTACTTGACCTTGATTTCGATTTATCTTTTTCTTTCTCTGGCTTTCCTGAAAGTGATTGGGGCAGCGCGCTAAGTTCACTGTTGATCATGGTCAATCGTCTGAGGACGTCATCATTGGCATCATTGGCCTGCGTCTTGTCAACGGCTGGATCAGCTGTTGGTGTTAATTTGTCTTGTGGTTCATCGATTCGCATCTCTAAAATCTTCGTGGATTTTTCTTCCGGGTCTGCGTCGTTTTCTTTCCGCTTTTTATCTGACTCATCGTTTCGCTTCTTTTCTGATCCAATCTTCGTCTGATTTTCTAGGTAATCATACAGAGCCGTTTGCACCTATAAACAAAACTTCTGGTACGTTGTCGACCAAATTCCTTTTCCGGAAAACTAACGTCGTTATTCTGGTCTTGCTGTGCTTGAGCGCGCTCCCTTTTTTGCCGCGATCTATGCTTTCGTTTCTTCTAAACGTTTCTCTTTCTTTCAAATAGTTACAACAAAAAGAAGTAGCAGTTGCGCTCACCTTTCTCCTCCTTCTCCTTTTTCTAGCTTTCCTCTCCTCTTCTTCTTCTTTCTCCATCTTTTCGGCTAACTCTTGCTTTCTCTTATGCTCCTTTTGCTGATATTTGTAGAAAATAATCAAAATCGCAATAGTGATAAGTACGAAGGCAATCCCACAACAAACGATAATAATTGATGACATACCAAACGAGCTTTCAGCTTCCTTCAAACACATATATCTGACCATTACGATTTTAAGTGGCTCATACCTTTTGCCTTCTATCTCCACCTCTTGGAGGCCATGTGTTTCTAATTACAGCTTGTCTACCTAAATAGACTTTTCGATTCATCCTTATTTTGATACTGGACTCGACATTCTGGACTAGATAATAATTTCTGGGAGTATTTGACGAGGTCTAGTTACATTCGCATGCGGAGTAATTTTCTGAAATTAGTGTGAAAACAAAAATTTCTATGCGCTAAAACAGCACAAATTTCTATGCGCTTGCCGAGAAGTCAATTTTATTTGCCACACTTGGTGCCATATTTGGCCAATTTCTCTTGACAAATTCTGGTGTTGGCGGGCGTGGATGCCATACTAACGAGGAGGGCATTTTCCATCATATGGTATAGTGTGGACCCCGGCCAGCTTCCCATAGGTACC